TAGTGGTAATATTATTCTGTGAATTACTTTAAAAACTTCTTAATAAACATTTAAATAAAAATTTAAATTCGATCGTAGAAAAAAAATTGTGTGCAACATGTGCAAAAAGCTTATTCGTTGCACTCGGCATGATTGCAATTTTGGACTTCGTCTCGAGCTGCAAAACTCATGCGTCGTGCAACAAATATGCCCTTTTTGCACTAGCAACACAAATAACTATTGTGACACTGACTGGATTATTATTGTCTACTAGGTTTTGATTTTAATGCTTAATACGATAGTATTTTTTATACGATGATATATTTTATATTTTTATATGTCAGCTTCGTAAAAACATGGCGGTTTTTACAACAGACAAAAAATGTAGTAGATACACAAAGGACCTTTTTATGAAAAAAATCGTGGTTTTGTCGAAGCTGCAAAACATTTTTACTACTGGGAGGATGGGGTAATTTTCCTTCTCATATCCTTTTTTTGTGAAAGTGAAATGTTAAAGCGACTTTCTAGCAAAAAATAGGGACTCCAAATATTATTCAATCGGAATATCGGTGGTTATCATCATCATCATCATTTTCAGCTTATTCAACCATTTCCAATTATAGCGTAGCCTTCGTCACATTTTTGTTGGGCCCATTGTTGTCTATTGTTGACTATGCGGGCCCAAGTTATCCCTGCTAATTTCCTAATATCATGGTCCCATCTCAGGTTCGGTCTTCCTCTAGGGTTCTTGATTCCTCGTGGGTACCATGCTGTAATTCTTGTAGTCCATCTATTGTCCGTTCTTCTTGCCAGGTGTCCTGCCCATTGCCATTTGAGGGATTTGACTCTGTGGATGACATTTATTACCTGGGTCTTTTGTCGTATCCACTCTGTTCTTTTACGGTCTCTCTTGGTTATTCGCGGAATATTTCGTTCCATTGAGTATTGTGCGACCTGCAGTTTCCTTATGATGTCCATTTTAAGTGTCCAGGTTTCCCATGCATAGGTCATGACTGGTAGTACACATTGGTCGAATATTTTCTTCTTTAAATAGAGTGACATTCTAGATTTGGATATGATTGAGATTCTTCCATAAGTACTCCATGCTAACTTAATTCCTCTATTGATTTCTGGTAGTAGAGAATATTTTTTTAAAAATGTGTATAAGTATTATTTTAAAAAAATCATGCTCTCTAACGGACAAACGAAGCACTTTTGTTTAGAGATAAATAATTGTCAATTAACTTATTTTGATTCCAAGTATACGTCGTAGTAGTAGTTCTATGTCCACATTGTCCATGGAATATTGAGACACCCTGTATAAAAATATAAAACGGTACAAAATCACACCCAATTAAGTATCACTTTTATTCAAAATCGGCTTAAATATTTTTCAGTCAATGCTATTAACGTAAGCGTTTATGACAATTTTATTCATATATAGCGATCTGTCAATTGCTTCCGGGTAATTTACAAATACCCGGCATAGAGATATTTTACAATTAACAAAATCAAGCCGCTTTAATTTGCCAAATGATACTTTGGATCACGCAACACGAGAACTCGGACACACTTATTATCTTATTACATCATTTCAAGTTTAACGTTTTTTTATGTCTAGTGACATTGGCAATGGCAGTGACAAAGACATTCTTACGAAATTATTCGAAATATTTTAGCTAATTTTTGAAAGTAAACTATTTCGACAATCTAAGCCAGAAATTACTTCATACTTTACAACTAATGTATTGTTGTAATTACTCGTAGGTCAAACGTACAAAATATGCGAAATATTGCGAGTTTTTAATTACTTTGTGACTTAATGCTGGTAAATAAATACTATAATAACTAATGTAATTTATAATATTAACAGATAATGCTAATAAAGAAATAACGATAATTTAATTATAGATGATTTGTACTGTTGTGTAAATTCTTAAATTTTAGGGTTTAATATACAGGGCCGTCTCAACTTTTTGTAATGCGACTTCACCAGTTAATATAAAACTCGTAAATAAAAAGGTACAAAAAACCAAAAGGTGATTGTTTTTTGAAGGAGGATATATCAATTTTACTTTTATACAGTGTAAACTAAAATTGCAATATGTACGTCTCTCTTCAGTGTCAATTTGCACAAATACGTTCATCATACGAAAAGAGCGTATTGTTAATATTTGGATGAAAATTAGTGTTTTGAAGTTTTTTGACACAAGAAATTTGATTTTGATGTCAAATATGACTCCTATTTTTAGTGGGCGCCACCTACATGTGTTTTAACTGTTTTGAAGGGTAATAACTTTTCGTCCGTTCCTGTATAAAATTACTCAGTAAAAAATATGCATTTCCGTCATTTTTTTACGTAAAAAACGTCTAGGTATAGATCGTGCAACGTTCTTTACAACGTTCTTTTTTTTCCACGTTTTTTTACGAGCAACCGTTCTCAAAATATTTAGAATGAAAATAGTCAATATGTGTCATTATTAACAAAAAATACAGTACGTCTGTCCGTTCTATAGCTACGGGGTATCCGTGAGAGGGGAAACGATATTCTCTCGATGTTTTTCGTAAAAAATTAGACGACGCGTCTCATCAATAAAAATTCGACAAATTTGAAAGTAGCCAATAAAATGAGTGGGCGGAGCGATTTGCGGTGACGTACTCGTCAAGTCGACGTATAAAATATACTGTTGTTTATTTAAATGTTTTTTGTCCGCATTCCTTTCGTAGACACAGATCCAGCAGATGTACTGTAAACATGTTGAGTAAATAGTTATTTCACTGAAATGATAAAGGGAACTTTTTATTTTTTTAAATTAATCATACATATTTTTGAAAAACTGATGTTAAAAAGTTTCTCTTGCACTTTTGGCACAGAAACATTTCAAATTTATGACTTCTGTTTAATTACTATTTAGTCGACATGTTTAAGTTATGTCAGTGATGACATGTATTGATAATTTCGATTCCAAGTATCTCGAGAACCATTACTCGTAGCGATTTTCATCAAAATAAGAAACGTCGTAAATGCATATTTTTTTACTCAGTTGTTTTATACAGGTACGGACGAAAAGTGATTAGTGATTACTCTTCAAACCAGTTAAAAATATGTAGGTGTCGCTCTCTACAAAAGTAGGAGTCATACTGACATCAAAATCAAATTTATCTTGTCAAAAAACTCAGAGACACCAATTTTCATCGAAATATTGACGTTACTTCAGAAATTATATGGAAAAAATCGAAATAAAAATTAATCTTCTACACCCTGTATCTCCGAAACTAACCATTTTACGACATAGGTGTATTTATACGAACTTTTTTACTTATTTTTATCTGCAGAATATGCTACCGAAATTTACGGAATACAGTTCGGACCACCCTGTATATCAAAATATTTACGAAACAAATTTAAAATTTAATTAACATTTTGATTCATAACATAAATAATATTTTAATTATTTGCTTGTTACAGACAAAACTCATAATAAATTAACTGAAATTAAAAAAAAATGTGTCTTGTGGAAATTTCATTTTTATTCGGTTTTTTCCAAATAATTTCTGAATTATAGTCGATATAGGGCTAAAAAGTGGCGTTGGCAAATGAAAAATTTGATTTTCATATCAATAATATATCTCCTATTTGTAGGGGGCGCCACCTACATGTGTTTAACTGTTCTAAAGAGGAATAACTTTTCGTCCGTACCTGTAGAAAACTACTGAGTGAAAAAATATGCATTTCCGTCATTTTCTACGTAAAAAAATGTCTTTCGGTAAAAATCGCTACAGCAATCGTTCTCAAGATATTTAGAATGGAAATAGTCAATACATATCATTATTGTCGAGTAGATAGTTATTTGAGTGAAATTATACATTTGGGAAGAATTTGAAGAATAGAAGATTTATGAGATATATGAAAGCAGTTTCCAAAAATGTAATAATATACTAGGTGTTCCATTTAAAATAACAAAGATACTACCACTTTTCAAATGATCCGACAACACTGTAACGCTGGTAATATTTTAATCTTGATTATAAATAAGTTATTTAATATATAGACAATGATTTTAGATAGATGGAAAATAATAAACAAATAAAAATATACATTTTCAAAAAAATCCTATCGCAGCTTCTCCATAAGCGTCTAACCTATTATCGTCATGAACCACCCTCTTGTATGTATAGTGGCGTCCAAGGGAAACTATACCGGGTCCTGAAAGTGGCTAGGATTTAGGATTGATTGACGTATTCAATTGTTTTTGGTCTTCCTGTGTCACCGGAAATGACTACAACTTTTGATTTTTAAATGGCACCCTCGGTATATTTCTACTTTATTCGATAGAAAATGACACTCTGAATAGAATGACATCATATGTCAACTCTTGACATTTTCGTTTAAAAAAAAATCGTATTTTAAGTTTCAATCTAGAGTACCATGGCTGTGTTAAAAATACTAATTTTCAATCAAGGAGCCTGGGAAAAATAGTTTTGATCGTCTAATGTTTTTCGTGTCTTGCCCTGGCTGGTTAAAAGATGCCCAAATCGTATTTTTAATCAGATCTCAATTTTTTCAAATGAAACAAGTATGGCTCATTAGCATATTTCGAAAAAGCATTTTTTTACGAATAATTTGGTACCTACCACACACTTGGTATTTCGAGTGAAATTGTCCTTCTGTATCGCAGGTTACAATTTCAAATGAACCATATGCGAAAATGTCAAAAGTTCACATATGATATGTCATTCTATTTGTGTGAGTGAAAGTATAAATATACCGAGGATGCCATTTGAAAATCAACAGTTGTAGTCATTTCCGGTAAAACAGTAAGCGACCAAAATCAATTGAATACGTCAATCAATCCTAATTTATACTAATATACCAAATCTCGATTTTTTTATCTAAAAAAATAATAAAGTTATAGGGGTGAGCCACTTTTAAGACGCGCGCGGTATACATAATTTTCATTAAATATCTTCATCTTCTTATACTTTAAAACTTATTTGTTTTCAATTAATTTTCTACTTACCTCCTAACAATCCATAAGTAATGCACAAATACTCCACGCTTGTGGCGAAATACGACAAAGCCAATGCCGTAGCCCCCAAAAACGCTCCTACAATGGCCACCAATCTGAACCCGTACCGGTTGGCTATCGAACTGGCAAATGGCCCTGCTATAAGATAGAACCCAGACATCAGGGATCCTACCAGCGTCACGGAAGCTTTGGACACGTTGAAATCTCCCGCTATGTTCGGTAAAAATGTTCCGAAGGAGAATATGATCCCGTCTACTATGAGGTTACACATGAAAGAGGCGAACACTATCACCCAGCCCCAGCCTCCGTCAGGCGGAACCACCACTTCAACATCTTCAGTTAGTGGATTTTCTGGAGTATCCTCGTGTGAGTTATCCGTCTTCTCTTTTTCGACGAGTTTGTGATTCTCTGTGACGTCTTCTTCTGGATAAGCGTTTGAGGTATCTCGGTTGCTTTCGCCATCTTTGTTGTCCGAAGTTAGAAGGGTGTAGGGTTCATCTACGTTGGGTGTGGTTGTATTGTGGTTAGGTGCCATCTGAAAATAAAATGAGTAGATTTAATATGCGGTTATATCAATTTGGTGATTTTTGATAGGTTTTAAATGTTTATATCTTGCAAAAAAAATGCATGCGGAGTACTACAAACTAACTTATACTAGGGCTGGCATTTCTGGTTTTGGGTGCCGATTTTCGTGTGTACGAAGAGTACGGTCAACACGATTAGCAAAATAAGATGTACTGAATAAAGACAGAAGGCAAGTATTTTCCCAAGCGCTTGGAATCTAGCGCCAGACTAAAGCTTGATTTTCATGCATCCGTTATCCGACGATACGATGATACCATATTAATTTTATTGGTTCAATTTAAAGACTTTGATTGGTTAGAATCTGTTAACCAATCGAAGCCTTTAAATTCAACCAATAAAATTAATATCGTATCAACGTATCGTCGGACAACGGATGCATGAAAATCAAACTTAAGTGGTTATATAATAAATACTTCGTATTTTTGCTCTCTCCGACTTACTAGATTGCCATAGCGATTCATTTCTATACATGTAAACGCCGACCCAAGGTTTCCCTTGCCAGCAGGGTATACTCGAATACAGGGTCTGCCAAAAGTGCGTCGGGCATTTGTAGCTCCTAGAATAAAAAACTTGGGAATTTTGTTTAAATGCAGACTTAAAGTATGTACTAGGGTGTATTTCAGGAAAATATTTTAACATCTACAGGGTGGCTCAAAAAAGTGTGAGTCGATCGGGTTTATTTTTTTTTAAATGGAATACCTTGTATATTATTGTATTTTTGGCTTCCTTTCTGATCACTTTACATAATACTAAGATATGAGTAGATATCCTAAGATATTTCAGTAGTTTTAGAGATATTAATAAATAAATAAATATTTTTTAGCCTTTCTTTAAAAAATATTAAAAATACAAGAATTGTCCTGAAATCAAAACTATATATTAGGTATTTACTTTAGATAGTGTGCACGTACTTCCGCTATAAATATCGGAATCTTAAATCATACAGGGTGTTAAAATTCTACGCCAAACCTAAAATATAAAATAATTTTTCTTCAGGTTTTTAAAAGGAACCCCTGTATATGATTTGTTAAATAGACGGGAAATTAAAAAATGGGCATTTTTTGTATTTAGAGTACTTTACATTACGTATTTAGAGTTTTTTTGCAAAAATTTTACCGGTTTCGCAGATATTCACGGTTTTATATTTCATATGGCATTTTCCATAGTAAATTTTTATCAAAGCCACCCAATGATTTTTCTTTCTTATTTTATCGTTGAAAAAGCCATATGAAATATTATAATAAAAATCCATCTAATAAAAAAATAATCTACCATTCCATTTTAAAAAAACGAAGAAAAATTGTTTTATATTTTAGAAAGTCCTGCGTAGAATTTTGAACACCCTGTATGATTTAAGATTACGATATTAGCAAAGTAAATACTGATCGTCTAATGTAAATACCTAATGTAGTTTTGATTTCAGAAGGGTTCTTGTATTTTCAATAATTTTCTTTGAGAAAGATCAGAAAGTAAGCAAAGAGGGTGTTCCAATGACCAAAAATCATCTCGATCCACTCACACTTTTTCGAGCCACCCTGTAGAAGTTAAAATATTTTCCTGAAATACATCCTTTTTTAAAAGTATGGAAACATATTTAATAATATCTTAGGATTATGTAAAGCAATGACTAAAGAATACAAAGACTAATAACACCCGAGACTAAATTGTTACCATACCACCAGTGTCGTGGCACATGTTTTTCTTAACTTAGATGCTTGAAGAGATATTTATATTTTTGATAAATGTTTTGACTACGCCTATGGTGTATGCCTGTGGTATCATACTAATTAATTACGAAAAAAACGTATTAAAATGTTATACAAAGTTCACGACACACAAACTATTCAAAATCGCTAAAATTGTCGCTGGTGACCAGCTGATGACTCAGTCGTTAAATGGCGTCTTATATCACAAATTCTGCTGCAGCCCGTATATGGACGTAACATGTCTTCAGTGGCGTTGCGTGAATTTTTGCTTTAGGCATGCACTACGAGGTGATAATAATATTAAAAAGCGTGAGCCCGCAGAAGGCGGCTTTTTTTCGATACTGGGTCCAATTTTCGCCTAGAAATCGTTTAAAATCGTTAAAAAACAGCCCTCTCTATGAAAATATGATTTATTTAAAACTAGCGTGTACTCGCGACTTTGTTCGCGTCGAATTAATCATTTGTAATGGTGATGATAAAGCAATACAAGAATTTCCATTAACATACAAACTGGATAAAATTTTTCTCACATTTATGTCAGCATGAGAAAAAACAATATGGCGATATTATTATATTTTGGCAGTTACTAAATTACCTAACTTTTTGGAACACCCTGTTTGATTTTTTTAAAAATTTCAAAATATGTAAAAAAAAACAAAATAAATTATGCATGTCCAAGCGTTTTCCCGAAAGACTAACCGTTTTTTAAATAACAAATATTGTAATATTTGAGCGGCGTTTTCACCCTCTTGGAATTTGAGATTCGAGAAACCCCTCCTTATCGAACCTCTACACCCCACAGTCAATCCGTTTGCCAAAAATCACCTTTAAACGTCAAGCAGTTTAAGCAGAATCGTGATTACTCAATGGTCATATTTTATGAAACACCCTGTATAAATTTATAAAAAATCTTAAAATATGTAAAACAACAAAATAAAATATACGTGTTTAAGAGTTTCTCCGAAAAACTCACCGGTTTTTAAAAAAAAATAATCTAATATTTGAGGGTTAGTTTCACCCCCTTAGAATACGAGTTTCGAAAAATCCCTTCTTATCGAACGCCTACACCCTAAAGTCAATCTGTTTTCTAAAAATCAGCTTTTTACGTCGAGCGCTTTAAGCAGGATCGTGATTAATCAATGACCAGATTTTTCGAAACACCCTGTATACATTTTTAAAAAATCTTAAAATATGTAAAAATACAAAATAAAATATACGTATTTAAGCGTTTTTTCGGAAACTTGACCGTTTTTTAAATAAAAAATATTGTAATATTTGAGGGGTGGTTTCACCCTCTTGGAACTGGAATTTCGAAAAATCCCTTCTTATCGAACCTCTACACCCTAGAATCGACTTGTATGCCAAAATTGAGCTTCTTACGTTGAGTGGTTTGAGCAGGATCGTGATTAATCAGTATGTCCGTCACTTAAGGATTTTATATATTACTAGCGTGTACCAGCGACTTCGTTCGCGTCGAATTAATCATTTGTAATGGTGATGATAAAGCAAAGCAAGACTTTCCATTAACATACAAACTGGATAAAATTTTCTCACATTTATGTCAGCATGAGAAAAAACAATATGGCGATATTATTATATAACTTGGTAATATTTGAGAGGTAGTTTCATCTCGTTGGAATTTGACTTTCGAAAAATCCGTTTGCCTAAAATATGCTTTTTACGTCAAGCAGTTTAAGCGCAGAATCGTGGTTAAGAAATATAGATATCAAAATAAAGGTTTCGTGGTTTACGATTTTTATCCTATATCATAAAAATCCAATGAAAATATTATTGTTTATGGCATGACGAGATATGAATTATTCAACCTCGACCCTGATAATAACTATTTAGAGGATATATTGAAATCCTTTTCTTGCTTCAGTTTTCAATACGAAAACAATAATTCTGTAATGTTATTCAGAGTAAGTATATTTTCGTGTCAAGGAGTATTACATTCGAACAACTCGATTAGGGTAAAACCGACGGAGAAGTAATAAAGACAGGAAGGAAAATAACGAATAACGTATTAATTAGTGTAAAAATAAAGAGTTGTTATAAACAGGTGCACGCCTTTCTTAAAGAGTTCAAGGGGAAGTGCATTTTACATGTAACCATGTAATAAATAAAAAATTAACGCTTAGGATTGTTGGATGGGAACATTTGGTGTTCAAGTAAAACAACAGAATTTACATCAATTCACTTTGGGCATCAACCCAGACAAAACCGAACTCATTCTGTTTACAAGAAAATACAAGATACCCATGTTCACGCTACCAAAGCTGGAAGGGAAGACACATACTTACTTACTAAGGAAACAAAATATTTCGGAATCATTCTGGACTCGAAGTTTCCCTGGAAAAGAAACACGGAGGAGAGGATGATAAAGGGAACAAATGCATTCTATTCATTCTGCAATCGTACATTATACACTGGATGTACACTGCTATAGTTCGACCAATCATCACCTATGGTGCACTAGTATGGTGGGAAGCGGTTCTTAAAGAGACTAGTAGAAAAAGCCTTACAAAACAGCGATTAGCAGCTCTAGGTACAACTGGAGCAAGGAACAACACCAGCGCAAGCTGCGCTAGAAGTAATTGTGGACTTGCTCGACTGGCTCGTGAAGGGTCTGGCCGCTAAGGGTGTCCTAAGATTAAGGGAATCCAATCTGTGGAACCAGACCAACTACGGTCACTTAAGGATATTGCCAGTAATAGGGAAAATCATGGTGAACACGAGTCCACATCTGCCAGACCAGAAAACGAACTATATGCTCACCAAACATAATTTTGGAGAAAAGATAAGGATTCGCATCCCGACAAGAGAAAAATGGGAAAGCCACCGAGTAATGAACACTCAAGAGATAGCAGTCTACACAGATGCTTCCGCAAATTCAGGGGGCACAGGTATAGGCATCTTCTCAGAGGAACTAGACATCCGACGATCTTTAAGGCTATCGAATGGCTGTCATGTTCTACATGCAGAGGTTTATGCCATAAAGGAAGCGGTCAGTTGTATACGACAGAAAATCGCTGATAGACCAATAGGAGATATCGTGATATACTCTGACAGCTTGGGTGCTTGACAGCACTGTCCTGGCTGCGTCAGGGCGGGGCTAATCTGTGCTGGGTGCCAGGCCACAGCCACAGCAATGTGGTGAGCAGTCAAGAAGTAGACAGACTCACCAAAGGGAGGGCCAGGGGAGCCACTGAAGGAAGGCCAATCAAGGCTAAGCAGCAAAAGA